TGGTCGCTGCAGGATCCCTGGGATCCTAGGATCCTCCTACCTCGGTCTCCAATAATGAACTCTTCTCCATTATGAAGACATGGATGAAATAGGTGGCTTAGTAACATGAAGACAACAGAACGCTGCTCAAGGAATTGGAAATAATATGAGAAGAGATTCGCAAACCTCCAGAGGCGACACCTTCAATCTTACAACTGGGGATCCTGAATTTTCACAATATAGGATCCCTGGGGAAACTCCTGAAATTGACAGTTCCAACATCCGTTACTACCTCAAAAGGGAGAACAATCCCAAACATCCAAACTCCTATGACCTAGGATCTTGATGAAACCTTCAATACACTTAATAAGAAAAATATTGGTAACTTCTTTAATAGTAACACTACCAATACTAACTCTATGGATCTTGATGTAGGAATAAGTCATGTTATGGCCAAAGAACTCCAACAGCTAAGGCAAATAATCTCAAGTGTACTGGGGATAGTCCCACCTATACCCAAAGTATCTCCACCAATCACATGATCTCGAGATTTACTCCTGCGATAGCTGATACTGAAGTCCCAAAACGTTTCCAAACTCCTAGCATGAAACCTTATGATGGGACTACGAATCCTGAAGAATATGTGGCATAATATAGGGAAAGAATGGAGATCATCCCCATTCCCTCACACTTGAAGGAACCTTGCATGTGCAAGGGTTTTTGTTCGACTCTCAGATAATCATCCTTGAAATGGCTACTTAATGTTCCTCCTTACTCTGTTACTCCATTTTCACATTTAGTTAATCTTTTTAACAATCAATTTTCTTGTAGCAAAACTTTTGAAAAGATCATTAGTGATCTTTATCGGGTAATTCAGGATCCTAAGGAATCCCTTAGGGACTTTGTGAACAGCTCGGGCAGGGAATCCATGACTATCCCCAACCATGACATGGCAACTTCCGTAGAAGGATTCAAAATGGGTCTAAAGAATGACTCTCATTTTTACGAAGACCTTGTAATGACCCCATGCTAAAGGATGGACGAAGTCAGGAGAAAAGCATTAAGGTTCATCAGGAAAGAAGAGGACAAAGAGATCCAGATTAGGAGCAACCCTCCTAACTCATATAATAACCCTTCAGGAATGCTGACTCCTCGGTCCAAAAATCCTATGATTCAAAACCTTTTTCCAAACCTAATCATCATAGGGTTAATGCCCTTGAGGATGAAGAAGAGGAACACGATTTTCCCAAGATCACCGATTATTGTTTTTTGTGGATGTTTCAGGTATAATCTATGTTATGCAGGATCTCGGCGACAAAGAAAGGTGGCCAAAAAAAGAGAGAAGTCCACCGGCTGGAAGAATAAGTCTAAGTGGTGTGCATACGACGAAGACTGTGGCCATGTTACAAAGAATTGTATAACTCTCTCGAAGGAGATCAAGTACCTCCTAAGAAAAGGATACCTCAAAGGGATCATACGAAGAAGAAACGAAAGATCTAGAGAGAAAGATCAGGATCCACCTAAGATCTTAGAGAAGCCAGGATCCTCTCCATCAGATGACAAGGTAATCAATGTTATCTCTGGAGGCTCTAACATTTAAGGAACTTCTTATTCTATAGTAAAAAGGCATGTCAAGGTTTCTATGACAGAAAAATAAGAAAGACCCCGGAAGAATACGTCAGTCACGAACGATAAGGAAATCACATCCGATGAAGCAAATATGGAAGACATCCAGGATCCCCACCATGACAGATTGGTGATCACTCTCTTCGCCGCCAACCACTTTCTCAAAAGGAACCTTGTCGATGGAAGATCTTCAGTCAACATCATAGCCCTAGACGCACTGAAAAGGATGACCATCCTAGAATCCGAGATAGTTAAAAGGCCCTCGGTTCTGATAGGATTTAGTGGTGAAACAAGGCACACGGTCGGGGGGGGGGGGGGATCAAGTTACCTATCTACATCGAGGGGGTAAATTCTATACAACGCTTTTGTGTAATTGATACCTTTTCTTCCTATAATATTGTATTAGGTAGACCATGGATCCACGACATGAAAGCAGTACCATTGACGTACGACCAATATGTAAAGATGCCCACTCCTTGGGGGACAGTGAAGATCACAGGTGATCAATAAGAATCTAAGGAATGCTACAAGACTTCGATGAAATATTCGACAATACCATGACAAGCATAGCAATTAAAGAAGGGGCACGAGGTGTGCTAGAAGTAAGAGAACAATATGCGAAGGAAGTGCCCATAAACCTCGAGGATCCTGAAGCTAGAGCCCTCATAGGATCCTCAATACCAGAACAAACGGAGCAAGAACTAATAAAATTCTTAAAAGACAGAAGTAAGACCTTTGCTTGGAAGCATGAGGATATGACATATATAGATAAGAAAATTATAACTCATGAAGTTAATATAGATCCTTCTTTCAGGCCTATACACCAAAAAGAAGGAAATTTGCACCCGAGAGGAACCAGATCATTCAATAAGAAGTTGAAAAACTTCTCAAGACAGGAATGATAAAGGAAGTGAAGTAGCCAATGTAGTGGTGGTCCAAAAGAAGAATGGAAAATAGAGAATGCTTGTGTATTACACGGATCAACAACAAGTCATGTCCTAAGGATCATTTCCCTTTACGACACATAGACTCGATGATAGATGCGACGGAAGGACATGAGCTACTGACATTCATGGACGTTTCAGTAGGATTCCAACAAATACAGATGGAACCATCCGATCAAGAGGATACTTCCTTTATAACTCATACAGGTATATATGGCTATATTGCTATGCCTTTTTGTCTTAAAAATGCAGAAGCATCAGACCATGGCTAGTAAATCGAGTTTTCAAGGACAAACTGGGGGACACTATGATATGGTGGTCAAATCCAAGAAAGCTAAAGATCATCTCAAGGATCTTCAAGGAGCCTTCGAAAATTTTGACGAATACAACATGAAGCTGAACCCTTCTAAATGCCACTTTGGGATGAATGCAACAAAGTTTCTTGGATATATGGTCACCAAAAGAGGGATAGAAGCCAACCCTGAACAGATCAAGGCCGTCATTGATCTAAAATCCCCATCCTCGTGTAAGGACATTCAAAGACTAACTGGCAGAATAGTAGCTCTAAATAGGTTCATCTCAAGATCCTCAGAGAGGTGTAAACCCTTTTACAACGTCTTGGAGAAGAACAAAATATTCGAGTGGACCAAGGAGCATGAAGATGCCTTCCAGGAACTTAAAAAGTATTTAAGTTCAACACCCCTATTGGTAAAACCATTAGATGGAGAACCAATCCTACTTTATCTTTCAATATCCTCCAGTGTTGTAAGTGTAGTCCTGGCCAAGGACCTTAACAGGGACCAACATCCCATCAACTATTTAGGTAAAAGTCTCTTGGATCTTGAGACCAGGTATTCTCACCTCCAAAAACTAATACTTGCACAAGTAACAGTATCCACAAAATTAAGACATTATTTGAAACACATCGTATACATGTAAGAACTAATTATCCTATTAAGAATATTATGAGAAATCTAGAGATGCCAGGAAGAATGGCCAAATGGTCGGTAAAGCTCAGCACATTCGATATAAAGTATGAGCCAAGATCCGCGATAAAGTCCCAAACATTAGCAGATCTATGGATGGCTTAAGTGATGATCTATAAGCCGAAGTGGAGATAGAAACAAGACAACTCCCAGAAGAAGAAATCATGGGAAGATGGACGCTCTTCATGGATAGAGCATCCAACCAAAGAGGAACTAGCCTTTGTGATCATACTAAAATCGCCACAGGGAGATATACTACCCCACACTGTTAGTTGTGAGTTCGATGCAACCAACAACAAAGCGGAATACGAATCACTGATTATGGGACGGAAACTAGTCAAGGATATTCAGGTATTTGTAGATTTGTTATTGATTACCAACCACTATAATGGATCTTATGCAGTTAAAGGCGAAAAACTAGCATCATATCTTCAAATTCTTAAAAAAGTAGCCTCTAAATTTGAAGCCTTTATCCAAAACCAAGTTCCCAGGGAAGATAATGCTCAAGCAGACGCATTGGAAACCTTTAATCTTCCCTTAGAATCCCACCAGAGATGAGAATTCCAATAATCCATGTAATGATCCCAACGATTGAAGATCCTGGTATCCATGATCTGACATCCAACATCGCAACGATCTAGGATCATGGCCTTCAACCTGTTCATCAGGATCCTAGTAGACAAAATAATCAAGATCCTCATCATCGAGATCCTCCAAGATCCTGGATCAACCCCATCACGGAATACCTCCAAGATGGAATGATCCCAAAAGAAGAAAAAAGTAACAAAGCATTCAAGATGAGAGTCTCACACTTTCTGATGATCCAAGGGAAATTATACAAAAAATCCATGGCAGGTCCATACCTAAGATATTTGGAAAATCATGAAGCTACAAAAGTTCTGAAAGACATACATGGAGGTGATTGTGGCAACCATACTGGGGGCAGATCCTTATGCTCCAAGATACTAAGGACAAGGTACTATTGGCAAACAATGAAAAAGGATTCCTTCTTTCATGCAAAAATGTGTGATGCTTGTCAAAGACATAGTAACATCCTTCATCAACTGGTAGAACTTCTATACCCCATCATCTCCTCCTGGCCATTCATGAAAGGGTTTGGGTTATTGACATAGAAGCACAATAATGTTTTTCATTTGGTTTTAAAAGGTTCTTCAACTAATTTTCGTACCTCTGACCCCATTAAAGTGACAAATTACTTGTTATTTATACCATGAGAGTCGGTCACTCGGTAATTAAATGTGACGTGGCCTTTATACTTTCGATATCTTTAATTAAATGACATCTCATCAATGACATGTCAACTTTGCCTTCATATAACTGTTCAAAAAAGGGATTTACTCCAATTAATTATCAAAATCGTGTTGAAGTGTTCAAGATTCTAGGGCTTTTCTCTCCCAGTTCAGTAAGTATTCTCTCATCTAGGGTTCTTTTGTAGTTAAAGTTCATGGCGAACCCATACCCTATTTTCTTGAAAGTGCATTTGCATTGTAACAGTGTTTCTACAAGACACCCACATAGATATATCGGAGGTGATACGTTCATGTTTAGTGATCATGATTTCTCTAGAATGGATTTACATGGGTGTTGTGAATTTCTAGAAAGGTTGGTCGGAGAACCTTTTGAGAAACTTTATTACTCAACATGTGATCAAACTATGGCAAATGGTTTTACGGTAATAGCCAACGAAATGGATTATCAAGTGTTTATCGATGTTTCGTATCAAGCACCTGAAAGGCCAATAGACCTGTATTTAGATCATATTGGGGAAGGATTTGAGGACTGGTTCGATGAAGAAAGTGATGAAAGTGGTTCGGTGATCCATGGGGATGACAAAGAACCTTCACAAGGAATCCCCGATCTCGAACCAGCCTATATATTTGATGGTGGTTTGGAAGATAAAATCAATGGGGAATACTGTACCCCTCTAAACAAGACCAAGGACGATGAGTTTCTTAACAAGTTATGCCCAGAAGGTGAAGAGAAAAAAGTTGAAGAAATGGATAATAGTGAGGAATTGGACAATGATGTACTTGATGAACATCCTATCTTTAATCCTTAGGTACATTGGAAAAAGCAAGTACCAATTTTAGGAATGAGATTTGAGAATCCAAAACAGCTTAAGAGCATGTTAAGTAATTATGTTGTTAAGAATGGCTATCAACAATGGTTCGAAAAGAATGACAGTAAGAGGCTTATAGTATTGTGTTTTAAAGGTGCTTGTACTTTCAGGCTATGGGAAAGTTGGATGAGTACAGAACACAGTTTTCAAATCAAATCTTTAAAAAGTGAGCATCAATGTGCTAGGAACTACAAACTGGGTTCAATTGTCAATTACCGATGGATTGGTAGCCACTACACCAAGGAGATTTTACATAGACAGAAACTGACAATTAGGCAACTAAGATTAGAGGTCATCAAGAAATTTGGTATTGAAGTCAGTATTAGCCAATGCAGAAGAGCCAAACAGTATGTTATGAATATTATTAAAGGTACCCTTATTGAGCATTATGGTAAGCTCTGGTCTTATGGAGAGGAAATTAGAAGATCTAACCCTGGTTTAACAGTCAGCATGGACGTACTTACAATGCTAGATGGAACTAATCATTTTAGTAAGTATTATGTTTGTTTTGATGGTGTAAAGAAGGGGTGGTTAGAAGGGTGTAGGAAGGTGATTGGAGTTTATGGTTGATTCTTGAAAGGGTATGTTACTAGTGAGTTTCTTTGTGTTGTGGGAGAGATGTTAGGGACCAAATATACCCAATTTCATGGGCAGTGGTATGTGTTGAAAACAAGGAAAACTAGAAATGGTTTTTGTTATTGTTAAGTGATGATATTAATCTTGGTATGGGACAAGCGTTAATTCATATGTCACACCAACACAAGGTAAGCAAAACATTTTATTATTTCTCTTTCACAAAGTATATTACCCAATTCATTTCTAACTACTTGTATGTTGGTATAGGGTCTTATAGAAGATGTCAAGGAATTGTTACCACAAGCTGAGCATAGGCAATGTGCAAGGCACATTGTGGCCAACTTTAGTAAAAAGTTTCCAGGGGCATAGTGTGTTAATTTGTTTTGGTCTACATGTAATGCAACAATAGAACAATCTTTCAAGGAAATAATGAAGGATATTGAGCTTATGGGTCCAGAGGCAAGTAACTACCTTATAGAGGACCCTAGAGCATGGTCAAGAGCTTACTACCAAGTTGGTAGATGCTGTTCTAGTGTGGAGAATGGAGGATGTGAAAGTTTCAATACAATCATAGTTGAAGCCAGGAAGGAACCTATCATCACAATGCTTGAAGAATTGAAAATGTATATGATGAACAAGCTGTTCACAACAAAACTTAATGGATGGTCAAGTGATGTTTCACGTGAAATAAGGCTGAGGTTGAACGAGTTAAAGGTTAATCAAAGGTTTTGGGAGGTATTGCCAAGTGGACTCAACCAGTTTGAGACTAGGTCAGGAAGTGAGGCATAAGATGTTGATTTAGATAAGAGGACATGTTCTTGCAGGATGTGGCAACTTAATGGTTATGGGTGTGTTCATTCTGTGGCTGCCATTAGCTACCTCAATAGAGATGTGGATAAATATGTGGATCCTTATTTTTGTAGAGCAATGTATATGAAGACCTACCAGTACAAAATTTTTCCAATGAATGGAAGCAAGATGTGGCCTGAAACTAATTACATTCCACATTTACCCCCCAAGAATAGAAGGATGCCTGGTAGACCAAAAACTAAAAGAGTTAGAGATGTGAGTGAAAAGGGTGGAAACCATAGAGTTTCTAAGAAGGGTCAGAAGATATCATGTAGTTTGTGCAAAGTGGAAGGACATAATAAGAAGACATGTCCAAATGTTGATAGGTCAAGACCAAACAAGTTACCAACTAGGGTTAACAGGACTACAAAGGTAATTACCACTTCCCATTTCATATTTTTTTTATTCATTATTAAGTATGTTTCATTTAAGTGTTTATTATGTGTGTATAATATGGTGAAATGTAAAGAAAAGGACTGCAAAAGTGGCAAGTGGAAGTAGGACAGGAATGGAAGGTGGGGATACACATGGTAGTAGGGTTAAGACGACTAAGTCAACAAAGGTAAATATAACTTCCCATTTCTTATTTTTTTATTGTTATTAAGTATGTTTCATTTAAGTGTTTATTATGTGTGTATAATAGTGTGAAAATGTGAAGAAAATGACTGCAGAAGTGGCAAGTGGAAGTAGGACAGGAATGGAAGGTAGGGATACACAAGGTACTACGGAGAGTGGGACTACACAAGTGACAAGGGAGAGGGGTAATTTTGTAATTCCCCAGGTTAAGAAGAGGAAAAAGAGTTAACATATCATCAAGAAAAAATTGGCAACCCAAGTTACAGGAAAGAATGGATAGGGGAACACTTCAGAAAAAAACCTGTCAACTTAATGTAGTTTTTGCATGGGAACTCCACTGGATGTGTCCTTTATTCTGTAGTAAAATATTATATAGTAAAAACATGTTTGAATGTTTTCTTTTAAAGATTCTATGGCGGAATTGTTATGTAATGTTTTTCACTCACTTTAGTTATTAATATATTCTCTTGTGGGATCTAATGTCCTTTGTATCCTTTCTATGCATTGGATGGTCCCTTCTTTCTTGTCCCTCCTGGAATTGTTATGTTGACCATGCTACTTAAAAAATTATTTATGGACCATATAACAACTCATGCATGGTATTATATAATTCGTGGACCATATAACTTGCATTCTTTGGGGACCATATAACAATTCATGCAGTATACTATCAAGGAACCCATAAAGAAATGTTAAAATAGAATAGAATCTATGCTTTCTATTATATAATTAGTCCATACAAAAGGTGTTACATGACCATATGTAATGGGGCTAAAGTAAATTGCCTAGACTAAATTTTCAAAAGGATCATCATTCCATATACCACCATTTGAAACATCCCAAATATCATGACCAAAAAATTCATTTTTTTAATTGTTAAATAAAACCATAGTTATCAGAATTCATCTCATCAAAACATAAATCATAGTATCTCGAAAAAATCCATATCAAAACATCTGTCAAATATATCAGAGTAAACATCCCAGGCGAAAACATCATTGTGTGTGCAATGCAGTCATCCCGAGCTCTTCCCTTTGCTACCGGAAGTACCTGAAACCAAAACTGAAAACTGTAAGCATGAAGCTTAGCGAGTCTCGCCAAACCACCACATACCATACACATAATCACATATTAACATATCGTGGGCCCCGCCCCTTCATCGAGCCTCGATCGGCATCGGACAATGTCCGGCATCGGGCCCCGCCCGGCATCGGACAATGTCCGGCATCGGGCCCCTCCTGACATCGAGCAAATCTTGGTATACCTATAAAATATCAACAAATACACATAGGATAATCACATAACATAATCATATAAACATTCCTCGGGCCCCGCCCGACATCGGACCGAAATCCGGAAGCATACAAACATTCCTCGGGCATTGCCCGACATCGTACCGTAATCCGGAAACATACAATTACAGACACATGTGAGAATCACGAAGATATCAAGTATACAAACATTCGTCGAGCACCGCCCAGTATCAGATCAAAATCCAGAAAACATATAAACCTACATCGGGAACCGCCCATCATCAACCTTAGTCCAGAATACATACAGTCATACATACGGGCCGACATTGGTGCCTTCGAACCGTTCAAATAGGAGGAAACTCACCTCGAATGTTGAATGATAGCTGAAATGTCTCTGTCTCGAAATCGACTCTACTCAATCCCTGAACCAAGTGATCAATCCATCAAAATCCCGAAATACCCAAAATGCCCTCATAAGTCAAACTTGGTCAACCATGGTCAAAGTTAAGGTCAACAATCCATGTTGACCCAACTCGTCGAGTGCATCTATCAACTCGTCGAGTTCCTTCAGTCTTCAGAAAACCGAGAAAACCCTAGCCAACTCGCCGAGTCATCTCAACAACTCTTCGAGTTTGCTCAGTAATCAGAAAGGCCGGGGGACCACGATCCAACTCGCCGAGTTGGGTAAGCAACTCATCGACTTCTCCTAGTCTTAACTCATTCAGTCACTTCCAAGCGAGTCTAATGCCTCCAAATCATAGATCTGGTCCCCTAAGGCTGAGATACCACGTAAATTTGCTAACTTTACGTCCATGCATGGTATCAAGAGGCTAAAAACACTAAAACTAAGCTTCATAAGAGATCTAGGGCATGGAGGAGGGCCAAGACTTGATAAAGATGTCAACTTTAAGTCTCAAAAGGCCATGTAATTTATAGATCCGAAGTCATAACTTCAATACATGTTCAAATCCAAGAATGACTCCAAAATAAGCTACTAAAGGCCATAAACTTCTCCATGAAGAGATCTATCAAACAAATAGTCAAGGTACCGACTTTATACCTTAATATGGCTGCCACGACAGAGGAATTCCCGGATCCAAAGCTTCTCCCTTCAACTAAGCAACACCAAAACTCAAGCTCCTTCAAGAAAGCACAAAAAAACACTCTTTACACTCACACACACTCAAAATTATAGAAAGCACGAATTAGGGTTTTATTTGACGGAGGGAACGATGAGGGAGGCCATAATGAACCATTAAGGCCTTTAAATAGGGTACAAAACCCTGAAAATTTGGCTTTCATTTCTGCCAGCTACTCGTCGAGTTGAGGCCTCCTAACTCGTCGAGTAGGTATCTTAACCCTGCGTCCCAAATCATCTCTACTTGACGACTCTGGGGCTCCCAACTCGTCGAGTTTCTCTATAAAAGTGAATAAATTATGATTTTAAATACATACCAGGAACCAGGCGTTACACCATTACACCATCAAACAACCCTATACACCCTACATCACTTACCACAGCTTTAACTTGATTTCCAAATACCTAATCACCCAAAAGACCATCCTCATATGCACCATGAGCCAAAAACCACCTATACACCATGACCCAACATCCTACATCACCTAGACCAGCTTAAAGTACATGACCACAAACAACAAGCAGACCAGAGCAATCAAAACAACCTTTTTCAACATCTTCTTCAGACTTTCAATCTCAATGAGTAGTTCTTGGATCCAAGCTTCAGCAAGTTCCTTCTCAGCTTTCCTAAGAAACTTGTGCTTCTCCACCTTCTTCTGCAGCTCAACAACTTGACAATTCCTAACCAAAAGGTTGTCGATCCTAAGTTTCAGGTTCCATAATGTATCCTTGTAGTGTTTTGGTAATGTTGGGTCAAGCCACTGGAAGAAGTTGCAACTGTCGTTGGATATCTACAAAAGAAAGCCACACAACAGAAAAAGGGTTTTACTGTTTAAAATTTAGGGTTTTCTCATTGTAAATGGGGTCTTTTATCGATGACAAAACTGCGAATTTGGTCCTTGTGGTTTGCAAAAACCTTCGGATGGGGTCCAAAAAGTTTCCAGCTTGCACCAAAGGTCCAAAATCAAGGTTTTCAAGGGTTTTTAGTCCATTCCGTCATAGTCCGTTTGTTTGGAGTCGTTAGGGCCATCACGTGCCCTCCATGTGAGGGCATTTTGGTTATTTTAGGTTCTTATTTTAAATAATATTAGATTTCTCCTTTATATACATACGCATACGCAATCCCCTTCATCTTATTCATTTTGATTTTACAGAGAAGTGTTTCTTCTTCTTCGTCTCTCATCTACTTCTACTACTGTTACGACCTTAAAAAATAGTGCTTTGCTTCTGTGGGAATGTTGTTGTTGTGCGAACCTCGTGGACATCACGAAACCCTGGTCTTCATTTCTACACACTCCCTAAAATGGTACGAAAAATCATATTAGGTTATGATATTTTAGTAGTTATGCAATAACTCTTCTACTTTAATGTATTCTTGTAGGGATCCAGATGTGGATTTTTGGGGTGGGTTGATCCCCCTATGTGTCAAAGATCAAGTGTTATCATACTACGACTATTGAGAACAATGAATAGGTATGAGGTTGAAGTGGGTCAGCTGAAGATGTACTTGGTTGCCTCGTGGGTGTTGATTCTGTTATTTGTGCTGTTTTGGAATTAGGAATTAGAGGTTAGGGTTTTTTATTGATAATAACCATCTGAAAATGTTGTCTTTTGGTGATAGAAGGTTTGATGGTGGTTTATATATGATGTAAGTGCTGTCTTTTGGATCATTTGATATGTAGTGCTATTATGACAAATCGAAATGTAATGGTTTTATCTTTATATGAATATGAAATTGTAAATGTTTTATCTTGACATGATAAGCAATTGTAATGGTTTTTGTCTTCACTTGAATATTCAATTGTAATGGTTTTACATGCATATATTAAGTGCATTTCCATAACCTCTTCATGCTTTGCCAATAGAAAATAAACCAATAACAAAGTACATTACCAAAAGGGCACCAAAAAAGGTTATATACATATGTTGAATTACATACCATAACAGAATAATGCCAAAACACAATCATTACTGTTGAAAAATATATGATCTGATTACCACGAATAAAGGCTCGGATACCAGTTACTGGGTGACAGATATATATATTTAAGGAGATAAGATGCAAAAAAAAAATAAGAAGTGCGGAATAAATATAAACTGGAAAGCTATAAATGACTGAAAGCTATAAATGAAATAAATGACAGTATTTAAATGACGTAAAGCTGTAATAAAATATATAAATATATATATATAAAGTCGGTTCGTCAATAAATTGACTGAACTGGTTTAGAATTGGACTGGATCTTAATAGACTGTGTCTCTATTTGTTCAAAGTTCAATCCGGTAAGTAACAATAAGTTCTTTTTATGTAACAATGAATTGTTTACAAAACGATACAAAATACACGGGTAATGTTTTTTGTATGTGGGTATGGGGTTTTTTAAGGTGATTTGATGAGGTTGAAGTGGGTATTTGGAGGGTGGTAGAAGGTGGAATAAGGTTGTAGTTTTGGTGGTATAAGGTAACAAAGAGGGTGATGTTGAAAGAGCTTTGGGTGGTTATGAATATAGATTTTCGTAGTAAATCTCTCTGGATAGCCAATTCTCTCTCGTGTCTCTCTGGGGTTTGCAGTGGTCAAAAAAATCGAGGAAAATTCCTGGATGTAGGTAAGGTCCTGAATAATTTGCAGTGAAAATCTCTCCCGTATTATCTTGTTGAGTTGTGCTCGGTGATTTTTTTTAACTTGCAAATTCTGATGTCGAAAAACAGCAAGGTGATGATGGTTGTGGTGATTTGAAAGGGTTTTTGGAGGAGGTTTAAGGAGGGTATTTGGAGGGTGTTTGGAGAGTATTTTGAGGTTGGCTATGTGTTTATTCTTCTGGAGATGAGAGAGTAATAGGAGATATATTACAAGGAAACACAAAACACTTAAACTCTTACAATTCACTCACTCAAACTTACTCACGTACATGCATGTATTTATGCAGAAATGAAGTTAGCAACCTTTCTTAGTTTAAGGAAAAGTAATGGAAAGTTGGTGAAAGCTGGAAAGGATGAGGTTGTGGGTTTTTTCTTTGTGCTGTCTTTGCTTTCTTCCTCACATCACACACACACACACATGCACGATGGTAATAGCTTTGGGGGAGTTGTGGCAAGAATAGAAAGCTGGAAGAGCATGTGGCTAGGGACATTTGCTTTTGAGTTGATTATCCAATATATATATAATATATATATATATATATATATATATATATAGATATATATATATATATATAGCATGCATGCATATATATATATATATATATATATATATACAATATATACAATATACATACATATATATACAATATAATATATATATATATATTTATATAATATATATATATATATATATATATATATATATATATATATCCAATTGTGAATTGAATTTCCATTTTTGACCCTTGAGGTTTTTAAATTCTTGACAATTTTAGTCTTGATTTGTATTGTCTTCAAACGACCAAATATTGCATCTATTTTTCCGTCTTTGCGTATTTCGTCTTTTGCATATTTTTCTATTTCATAATTAAGCACAAATCCACGCAACCTGAAATAACTGACAATATTTGTTAGATAATATAAAACCAATTCGTCTTATTTCAGTGATGATCACATATAAAAACATTTTTCAACAATTTCCCCTTATGTGATCATTGATGAAATAAGGATAGATATAATCACATTAACAGTTTTAATCTTGAAGATTTGGGATAAAAGTTTTGTCAATGAGAAGATATATGTAAAACCATTGTAATCGTTTTGAAAGTTTGTGACTTGGTTTAACATATCTTATGTAAAAGATTTTCATAAATTTGTTTCCGAATCAAAGTCTCGGGTTCGGTTATCAAAGGGTAGTCATATATGTATCTAAAGAAATTTCCTTAGATTTTATAGCATTATTAATGACGACAAGTGGTCTAACAGGTCGATTCAGATGAACGCTCATAGGTATAGCTCACACTTCACTTGGGTGTTTGGTTGTTCTGGCAGCAGAACAAGTTAATGATCACTAAAAATGAGTGATATCTCTCTCTGACGACTCGCACTCATATTGGAGGTGTTCAGCTATGCTTTTCCTGTAAAGTCACTTAGTCTCATTATTAGATAATCAATCACATAAGACTGGTTTCGGCATTACTCAGCGGGTTTCTTCATTCATGTCATTAAAGTTCACTCTCTCTCCGTCGGGAAATACATGTAGAGAGGTTTAGCAATTTTCATAGTGCAGTTTGCAACTAAGATTCTTCAGTGATGAAGGCTACAGTATCCCGGGAAATCCATTGTTGTTGCAGCTTCTTCTTTGATAGTATCCTGTTTGTTGATCAATATCGATTTATTGTAAAAAGATATTTTGTTTTAGCATTGAGAATTTGCTACATTTGAGACCTTTTTAAGAGTATTTGACTTGAGTGATTGAGATATCTTCTTTTGTGAAAAATGGTAAAACAAATCGCAGGATTTTATGATTTTTGTTTTGAAATAAACCATTTGGTTGAAAGTTTGTTTGAAAATACCAAATATAGAATACTTTTTTTTGTTTGGTATATCTTTATTGAATCCATTTGTTTTCTTGTTGATTTGTCTTTGAGGATTAGATGTTGATAGATATTTGTTTCTCCTTTGGTTTTCTTGTAAGGATATGTCGTTGTTTGCTTGATGGATCATGGGATCGCAAGTCTTCATTTTTGGTTGGCTTTTATCTAGGTAGGGATAGGTGGCATAAAAGACAGTTTGTCTAGTATGTAAGAAATGAATGTATCGTCCCTGGTCATTTTGATATCTAAGCAAAAATGAGACCGTGACAAGGTATAATTGGGTATACCTTATAAGCAATAGTGACACACCTAAGCTCACAAGAAATGATTTCCACAATGATTTAGATCGACGAGACAAATTCTCACATGGGTTTTTGTTTTCATCTGAACCTCCTAACCTTATGTCCCTTGATTGTTTAAAATCGTCAATAATGAAATAAAATCGAAGGAAATAAAGTTATATACATTATGAAAAGTAGGATATTTGAACCTTCACTCCAATTGAGAATCAATATGACTTAAAATCTTCATCGAGCATAAGCATCTGAAAATTAAGTCAAGAGAAGATTAATCACAAGGTTCTATAAAAGCTTATTATGGCAAGTCTTTTATTAATTTTTTTTTTGAAGATTTGTTTTTCTGAATGTTTTTGGAAATATTGGTTATTTGAATGTTTTGGTATTTTTGAAAGGAAAGCAATTTTCAATTTTTTGAATTTTCCTTTTGAATGAAAGTAAACACACTTTTGTACAAACAAAAAGTAAAAGTTTAAGGATAGATGTTATCTGGATTTAACATTCCTAGACGGCCTAGGAAGTATTGAAACTTGTTTCATCGAGAGCCTTAGTGAAGACATCGGCAATTTGATCTTCGGTGTTGATGAAGTGTGCAATTCGATATGACCCTTTTGAATGTTGTCTTTGATGAAATGATATCGAATGTCGATGTGCTTTGTCATGGAATGGTGAACGGGATTGTGAGAAATGGCAATTGCACTGGTTGAGTCACAAAATATGGGAATTTGTGAAATTTTGAAGCCATAGTCTCGCAGTTGAGTTTGCATCCATATGACTTGCGAACAACAGCTGGCGGCAGCGACGTATTCAGCTTCTGCTGTGATGTGGATACACAAGTCTGTTTCTTTGAAGTCCAACTCACTAGTCTACCTCCTAGGAATTGACAGCTACCAGATGTACTCTTTCTATCTAACTTGCATCCTCCATAGTCTGAGTCGGTGAAAGCGTTCAGCTGAAAATCGGATTTAGCTGGATACCAAAGGCCAAGTTTGGGAGTGCCTTTTAGGTATTTGAAGATGCGTTTCACAGCAACTACATGGGATTCCATAGGATTTGCTTGGTATCTGGCACAGACACATGTAGAAAACATGATGTCAGGTCTGCTGGCAGTGAGGTATAAGAGTGATCCGATCATTCCACGATATCTTTTCTGATCAACAGGTTTGCCATTTAAGTCTGCATCGATTTTGTATCCAAAAGCCATTGGGGTTTTTCGGGATTGGATTTGTCCATTGAAAAGCAAAGAGTGAGTAGGTTTTTGACATAATTCTCTTGGTTGATGAAAAATGCCATCAGTTGACTGTTTGATTTGAAGTCCGAGAAAAGTAGTCATCTCCCCAATCATGCTCATTTCAAATTTGCTCTTCATT